TCAATGAGGCTCCCAGTTGGGGGTTTCCATCTGACTGACAACAAAGAAATCCTTCTCCTCCTGTCCCACTTACCTTATTGGAGCTGTTTTATAAAATAGCAGCTGATTTAACCACATTAAAAAGCAGTCTGGCGATTTTTTTCCCCCAACTTGAGCGTAGACACAGAGTGACATCACTATCTTAGTCAGCAGAGTCTGCGCTTTGACACAAGCAGCTGATGATGAATGAAGGACATCCTTTAACACTCAAACAGACAAAGCCAATAAGATCAGACAAAGAACCCCACAAAAAAATCTTCTCAGTTCAATCAAACCTCCGATTCAAGCTTCTCATATTTGGTCCTTCTGGTTTAAACCATCAGAGCTGATCAGTCACCCACAGAGGAGAGATATTCTGTAATTATGTTGAAAAAAATCCAAGCCTGAGATAAACAGGACAATCTTGAAACAGCAGAGGCAAAGCTAATAAGCTGATAGGACATTGAAAGGGTTTATGGTCACTATGTCAAGAGGAGATTAATCTTCAAGCATGGAGGTGGTAGCATCATGCTGGGGACATTTAGCAGCCAGTAGTACTGATGCATTGCACAGGGTAGATAAAATGAAACAGGATTTATTTCCTCCAAATACTCTGCAGGTAATATGAAGGAAACATAGTTTGAAATAGAAACCTAATCCCACAAAAATGAGAACTGCTTTTAGAATAGATAGAACAGGCTAACATTGCATCCTAAAAATTATTCTGACTATAAACATGTTTGAAACTTATCCACAACGCTTAAAATCTGGTTTTGGGCAACTTAAATATTTAACTTTAAGAAAAGTTGGAATGATACAAACTGTTTGATGGTAAAATGCCTTTTTTTCTTGCTGTGATTTGTTAAGGAGGCTCTCTGCGGATTAGAGAAAGGCCCAAATCAATGCAAAAGAACATTGTATGTTTTCGAAATTAAACTGAATCAATAAAACATTTCCAACATGAAGAAGAGTCATTTAAAAGCATCATCAAAAAAAAAGAAAAACTAACAATAAAATCTACAATGGTTTAAACTTTTCTCATCACTATTGGTTCTATGTGTCAATTGCATAAAACAACTTTAGAACTTCAGAAGAATCTGAAATCTGCCACTAATTTATTTTTCTCTATGAATCAATTCAAAAGAAAACGTCACCCAGCATCAGAAGTTTCTATAAATGTCTAAATATTTGTTTTCTTATCTTGAACAGAAATGCAGCAGCAGCAGACTGAGCCTTGATCTCTCTCTCAGTTGTTAGGGCACATTCTAAGGAAAAGGATGCTGCAGTAAGCTGAGGGGTTCAATGCATTTTTTAAGTAAAGGCATACTGCAGCTGATATTACAAACAAACAAACAAAAAAACACACACACACTGCAGTCTATAAGTGTCACCTTCACTATATACCAGCGCGCGCTCCTGCAACCCCGCGTGCGTGCGTAACACTGACACAAATATGATGCTCTGACCCATTTACAGCAGACCCAAGCGTGGGCAACATGTAGATCGTTGGAAACCCTGTTCCTTGTAGTGACACAAAGAAATCCAGCAGATTCTGTCTCTGTGAAAGCCATCCACAGGCCTGAAGATGCCATAATACCACAATAGGCTTTGTTGCATTGCTGCCCCTCCACTTCCTTCATGCATCCCACTCCATTTCCTGAGTGGAGTGGGATGCATGAAGGAAGTGGATCCCACTCCACTCAGGAGATACCTCCTGACGAGCCTCATTTTTATCTGGAATAACTGACTGAAAGCCTTGGACCAGACCAGCAACCCTGCGCACTGATCTTCACACCCCGGCATGCGCCGGTAGGCCGTGGCAGCTGTGATCGTGGATTCTGCAGAGCTGGAGGCTCAATGTTTCCCCACGCAGAACTAGATAACAAGTCAGAGCACCAAATATAAGAGGATCAATCATGACGCGCCCCACCCAAGAGGCTCCTCGGAGATGCTGTACCTGCAGAGCCGCAGGACTTGGACAGCAGCCACCGGACGCTGGCGCAGATCCGGGCCCGGTTAGAGTCGTATTTGTCCAGCGGCTTGATCTCTGGCACCGTGAAGGTTTTCTTCACGGCGCTGGGAGAGTCCACCATGGCTGCGATGTGCCACTCGGAGGAAAAAGGAGCAGGAGGAGGAGGAGGATGATGATGCTGAGGAGAAGGAGGAGGACCCTATGATGCAAACACGTGCTCACGGGAATTAAACCTAAGAAATGAAGCTTTCAAAGCGATATGGTATAATATGTTACAAACAGTTGAAATCCATTAATAATAGTAATAATAGTACAATAAAGGTGGCTTTGTGGTAAAGGCTGATTCAGCTGAGCCATCAATGAGGCTCACGCCCCCTGTACGTCACATTTCAGACAGAAGGCAATAATATCTTCATCAAATGCTTTACTTTTGGTTCTATATTACATGTACACATTCAAATGGCAACGTTTATTTTTTTAAAAAGAAAAAAAAAATACATGAGATTATCGTCCTCGACGTCGAGTTGATTTGGATTTGTGATTCCCGTAGCAGTACCCCATCTCTCCACAAGGGGGCGCACTCCTTCAAGCGTAAACTGACATGTCTGCTGTCTATCAGCTGAGATCTTTAAGTTGCTATTCATAGCAGGTATTCCAGTTGGAAGAAAAAACATCACACCTCGTGATTTTTTTTTATACATTTTGTTACATAAATGCTTTTAAGATTGTGTAATGAAACAAATCCAGGACTCCCTTGAAAAACAGGTTTTTAAATGGGATTTTTTTTTTCTGGTTAAATATAGTCTAAATTAAAATATATATATATATCTTTGAACTGCATTCTGATTTATTTTTATGTTATATAAATACATTTATATTTAAACTTTACTTTTCTGTCCTAACCAGAGAACCAAATATTTCCCCACTCTCACACTCGGTTGTATTAGATGCTGGCAGTTTATGAAGGTTTACATTTTCCTTCTTAAATTAACTGATCTGGCTGCTGGTTTACTCTGGTTGGATGAAGAATCTGCTCCTGCCTGAAGTGTTCAGCAGCTGCTAACAGGTATTCTCTCCCAGGATTTCCTCAACATTTACCTCCATCTATTCTGTCATCTACTCTGGCCAACTGTACCTTCTGGCGTTAAGCCTCATGATTTAATGAATAATGTGCCGGGGGTTGGGGGGTCTACAGGGAACTGTAGTGTTTCTGAGTCGAGTCTATGTGTGTTGCATAACAATCAGAAAGCTGAGCTTCTTAGTTGATCACACCTTATCTAACTTACCTATGGATTTTGTTGCACTACTCTTCCTCTAAGCCTTATTCACAGTGTTTAACTGTTCTCCAAACCAGAAATTCTCCCAAATAATCCGTGGATTCCTGAAACCATGACCATCTGGGCTGGTTCAACTCCACTCTGCTCCACCAGCCCAGCGTTACTTATCTCCTAAGAGCTTTTATAGCTGAGATGTTATGAACTGTTAATTCCTGACCTGTCTGTGTTCCATGGTTTTTATGATGCTGTTGACTAATTCTCCATTTCTTACAATAACATACATTTATTAGGATAAACCACAAACACATAGACTAATCAGGTACTCTTGAAGGTAGAAATGACACCAACATGAACTGATGCCTCACTTCTCTGGATTTTATTTGTAAACTATACAAACCAAAGGTGAAAATCAATCCAGTTTCCTCAAATTCCCTATAAAGTTTCATTTTGGTCCTGTAAGTCCCTTTATGTTTTAAATCCGACGTCTATTTAGAGGCCAAACCTGTTTTCATGTCTTTAAACCAGCATAGGAAGAAGCAGTATCACGCCTGGAGAATGCAGCAGAACTAGTTTGTCCTTCTGGTTGACTCCTTTGTGCCCTGCCTGCAGGGGAAAACCAATGGGGAAATAAACTCATGCCGTCTCGTGGTTGATCTTTCCACCAGAAGGTGGTTCCTTGAATACCTCTCAATGATGGTCAGTGCAGCAGGAGACTCGGGTTAAAGCAGACCTCAGAAGCAACTCAGGAGAAAAATCAGCTGACTTTAAAACAAACACTAGGTGAGTCTGTTTCTATGTTTAACCCGTTTAACATTTATCATAAACTGTACGCAAATTGCTGTATTTAGAGGGTAAATTAAATGATTAGGTTATAAAGAACAGGTGAACTTTAAAAATCTGAGTAAACTTTTACATGTTTTCCCATTTCACATACCTCTATATGTACCTGTATTGGACATACCTCAAACCTGGAGGAAATTGTGACATTTTTTGTTACGCTCAGTTTAAAAAAAAAAAATGATTACATTCATAAGAAAGGTTTCTTCTGATTTAATTCAATACACTCATGTCTTAAAATATCTAACTTACCTTCATTTTATTTAATTTTTTTAATATTTGAGTTTAAACCTTTCAGGTTTAGGAGGTATGGGCGGCACCTCCCTGAAAAGAGTCTTCTTTCCGAAAAAGAAAAAGAAGTCACCCCTGAGAGATGCATTCAACCAGCTGCAGAGGGCGCTGCCAAAGAAGAAAACCAAAAAGAAAAGCATTCTGAAAAAACTGCAGCTGGACAACTTGAAGAAGGACAAGAAATCCAAGAAGAGATTCTCCCTGACCCGAGAGAAGAAGGCATCCAAATCGCTAAAGGTCTTCTCCCTGAGCAAAGAGAAGAAGGAGTCTGATCCAAACAATTCAGAAGGAAAGAAGGAGAAAGACAGAGAGGTGCTGAGTCGAATGGGAGACAAGATCAAACGGAAATTTTCTCAGGAAAACAAAAGTGAGCTCAATGTAGAGCCAGAAATGACACCTCTCAAGGAAGCAAATGACGGTAAAACCTCCTTACAGAAGCTGAAGGACATGATGAAACCCAGAAACACGGAAACCAAGAAAACTGAAGATACATGAATCAGAAAGACAAACTGGAGCCAAAAGGACATGTATTTAAAGTTCTTTAATGACATTCTGCCTTAAAGCCATTAATGAAACAGAGGCTAAGAAAACTGTGGTTTTTGCTTTAACATTTGACTGATTAACATGTAAATGTCAGTTTTACTTCATATTAAATGGATTTAGTCTTGAATTTGTGGTATTACTAGTCTTGGTTGTTCCATAGCCTGGCATTCAAACTGAGAGCATCATTTGTTTGATTTAGCATAAAGCCAAGCTGCTCTCATGTCTGCTTTGCAGCACAGATCATAAGACCATCCCTTTAAAGTGTTAAATGTAAATATTTACAAAGACTGCATGAGCATCAAGTCTGTGGCAGAAACTTGCTGTAGGATTTAATCACTTAAAAAGAAAATAGCAAGCCATTTTGCTTGCCTCATATATATATAAAAAAAACACAAAGGTCAGCATTTAGATGTGTGGGTGACAAGTTTCACTTTCCTTCAACTTTTCCCTTTTACAACCACACATTTCTACGGATTTTATGTGATGAACCAACAGAAAGTCAAACACAAATGTGAAGGAAAAGGATAATGATGCATCATTTTCAGATATTTTACAAGTAAAACTCAAAATATGTGGCATGCATCTGAACCCTGAAGCCACTACATAGAATCAACACCCAACTGCACTCAAACATTATCCGATTAGTAGAAGCAGGCACTTGTTTTATGTTAACCAGATCATGACCAAACTATTGGTTGTGCACAGTGCAAATTAGGCCTTTATCAAACAGTAGCAGGAGGAAAGTCATAGGAAGCACTGTTTCATGTTTATCTGCAGAAAATTCATCCAGAATGATGCATGGATTAAATCTACTCCCAGGCCCCTCTTAACACACCACCCCTACCATGAAACACGGTGGTGGGAGCATCATGCTGTGGGGATGATTTTCCTCAGCAGATGGAGGAAAATTGTTCAGAGTTGATGGGAAGGTTGAAAAGGCATTTCAATAATGGCTGAAAATCTAACCATGGCTGCAAAAAAAAAAACTGAGACTGAGGCTAAAATTCACCTCTGAACCTGTGGCAAAGACCTGAGGATTCTTCTCTGTACAGAAGCTCTCAACTTGAGTTGAAGGAATGTATTTCAAAATACTTAGAGCTGTGATTGTAATGAATAGTTGTTCTACAAGATATTGACCCCAGTTTTTTTTCCTCTTAACAATGTTGAAGCACTTAATGCTGATCCATCACATCAAACCCCAATAAAATACATAGAAGGGAACAAATCAGATGCATGCCAATAAATATATTTGGAAAAATCTATTTTTGCTCATCAAGAGGCAACTTTGAGCTGAGATATTTTTTAAGCTAAACATGAGACCATAAAATCTTGATTAGAGAAAAATAAATAAAAAAAACAATTTGAAAAAATCTATTAAAATTAAGAGGAAAAAAAAGTATGCATTTTTATGAAAACTGTAAAAAAAAAAAAGAACAAAATTTGATCCTTTTATAGCTTTGGTGCACGGTTAAAAGTCTGCAAGCTACACAACTGTAGATCAAAATGTTAGATTAAAAACCAGGTTCACAAAATTAGCTCAGCATGCGTCAGTCACGCAGCAATAAAACCTCAGATAGCACATTTTCTATTTACAGTTTATGGCTTGTTTAAAACAAGTTCTTTTGGAAATAAACATTTAATATTTAAACTATATTGCATTCATTCAGCTGCCTTTTTTTGCTTTTAAATGAAGCGGGAAACAAAGCAGAATATCCACCAATGGGAAAGAGCGCTGATTAAACCTGGAAGCTTTGCACCGCAATGAAATTTGTTTTACTGGATCTCTAACTTTACATGATCTACTTTTATCTTAAAGGAGAAACTCATTACCAAATGTGCTAAACAGATTCATAGGATATAATGTAAAAAACTTAACCTACATAAAAAAAAATAAAAAAAAATCAGTATGGTTTCTAAATTACAGGAAAAGAGGTTGACGAGTTGTTGTAGCAGCTGATGCATACACAGTGTGGCAAGGCTTACTTTGCATTGCTCCTTCACAAGTAAAACCTTTCATTGTAACGGTCCTTAAAGTTTTACTTCATAAGCAAACCATCATGCAACTCTTAGTGCTCCAGCTGTCTGGATTCATCTCTTTGGCAAAATATCGGCAGAAGAATCTCTAAAAGTGAAGACAGCTGCCTACTAAGATCGATCAGTGTTCACATTCAAAGCAGACAGTGTAAGCTTAAAAAAAGTGTGATGTTGCTTGGATTTATGACAGTTTGTTGCCAGGAGATGAAGACATTTGGAGCAGTTTTCTTTAAAGTGTTCGATCATCCACAGATATTTTTTTTTTTTCAGGACTGTATGCATGTTTGGGTCATCTGCCTCAGTTAAAGCTGTCTGGAGGATGGACGTCCTCTTAGTCATCATTCATGAGAGAAGACCGGTTGCTATCCGTTTCCTTCCTGATGGTGCGAAGTCTCGAGTTCTACAGGCAGACAGTAGGAAAGAGGAGGGAAGGTGAGGGACCAGAGTAGTAAAGGAATAAAGGGTAGGGATTAGAAGCAGAGGATTGTGTGAAAGTGAAACAGAAGGAAAGAAAGGGAAACAATAAGAAATAGATTAGTTATGTCCAACCAGGCAAACAGAATCATAGAGGTTTAGAGGAGAAAGTCATGGGAAAAAAAAAAAATACCATAGATCAGTTGGGCCAGGGTGGAATGCCACAAGGGGGCGGCAAAAGGCAAAAAAAAAAAAACTTTAGCTAATTGTTTATTTCTATTGCTTTTCTTTCTATTGTAGTCAATGGGAAGCTGCTGTAAACTAGTAACTATGAGAATGTTACCGGATTATGCTTTATGATTAAGAGAAAAACCTTACATATTTAAAATAATCCAAATGTAGCTGGATTCTGGCCATAACTTCATTGAGACAAGGATGGAAAGCACAATGTCAACACAGGGCTAAATGATTTGATACTTTACAGACTCTCATGTTCTTTAAGATCATTCTTTTACAAATTAATTTCATAATAAAGTTGTGTTTGGCTGAATGGGTTTTGCTAAGGAAGTTGTGCGTTTCATTGTGTGAGGAGTATGGGTGTGGCTCACCCAGGATGCAGTTTAAGCTACAACATCTGGATACTTTTTGCTAAAGTATTTATTTATACATCATATTACAACCAAACCATGAATGCTTTTTATTAGGATTTTTCGTGATAGACCGACATCATCTAATGACTGAAAACCTCAAGTCCCCATGGAAAAATTGTTTTATTAACTGCAGTGTTATTTTCCATAACACTTGGGCTGTCACAGAAAACCTAAATAATTAATAACTAAAGGTTAAATTTAAACAAATGCAAAGAAGCAGGGGTTGAAATTTTGCAAGCTGCAATTTGCTTGTAAGTTTAAATTTCACAGGATATCGCAGAAGAGCAGCCGCAACGAGACAAAGCAAGCAGACGAAAAAAAGGAATAAAATAAAAGACACATGTAGCCAAGTTCTGCATTTATTTTCATCAGCTATAATATTCGTACAAAAATAAAACCTGGATAATATGAAATAAAAATTGAAATACCAAAACCATCACTAAAATGTCATTATGTGTCAACACTTATCAACTTGGTAAATAACAATATATTGGTGTAAATATATAAACATCTTGGTAATAATTCTCTATAAATTGCATATGTAATAAGAAGACACTTCTACCTCTACCTGATCAAGGCTCAATTTAAAAAAATAAAAACATGGAAAACATTGCTCTCGTGAACCTCTGCTATCACGTCAACATGTCAACATGTACAGACACAAAATGTGTGACGAGATTCCCTATTCGTGTGAATGCATACTTTCAACTGACATGCCAGAGTAAACCGTCAGAGGAAATGTGGCAAGAAGCGTGACCTGGTTTAAAATACCACTAACATCTGGACCCACTTAAGAAATTACAACAAAGGAACAAACTGCACTGATGAGGCAGAAATGTTGTGGTGGTGATACACTAAGTGACATTAGCATGTGGCAGTAAAAAACATTCCCGGCATTTGGGTAAGAAATAAAAAACAAAAGGAAGCCTGGTTTTAAGCATGAGGCAGTGAAGCCATTAAAATTTCTGATCAAAGTCTCTCCTTAGGACAAAACGATCCATATATGGTCTCTATGTGGATGGAATTAGACCTGCATTCAAGAGAACTATGTGGACAGAAGTTTCTACCAAAACGCACAACTGACTATTCCCAACTGACAGCCTAAATTACTAGAGCAGGCCAGTACTTGTGTAGCAACCCAACACTTGCAAGGTACTGAATGTACGGAAGATCACAGAGATCGAAAACACTGGATAGTGACACAATACGCTGCAGACATGATTCAGGAAAAGAGACATATGCAGCAACAGACAGGGCTGGAAGAAGTGACCTGAACGTTTGGCTCGGGATCAGGGATGACTTCTAAAGGACTTAAGAACAATTGTGTTTCATTCAGAGAAAAACCCTGAAACCTAAAGAGGTACGACAAAACATCTCAGTATGTAAGACCTTCATTAGTTGGAACTTTATATACACCAAACCTAAATCAGAAAGGCTCCATCAGTAAATACATTAGTACTGAAGGTTTTAACTAGGACTACAACAATAAATCAGAACTGGACGTTTTTTACGCTCAAGTCTGTATTAAGCAAGCTGTAAACTGAAAGCAAAGATGTTTTTCTGATGAGTCAACACATCAAACAGGTCACTCTAACAACACTCATCAGTGTGGAAGCTGTAACTGAGGGAGGAAGCCTGAAAATGAGCTATTTTCAGTATATGGAGGAGCACAACAAATTAGGCCACAGAGGGCAGAAAAGCTGGCAGAAGCTTCCAGAAATGCATACGAGATGTCCGTTAAATAGATAACACACGATGTGAAGAAATATTGATGACTGAGCTCATGCGTAGATTCAATATTTGAAAAATTTAAAGTTTTAACCGTCTAATAATAAATCAAAAGGTTTTGTAAAAGGATTAGAGAAGATTACGCTGTAATTTCTGCTCCAACATAGTTTGAGGTGGTTTGTTTTGAAAAACTCATTTTACAGTGTTTTTGGTTTTTTGTTATTGTTTATAAGTACTAAATATGATCTGAAATGACCAAAATCAGTTTCAGCAGGTCAGAGGTCCAAAAAGTTAGAAGTCAACCCTGCAACCTCTGATCGATCCAATTGCAGTGTTATCATTTTTGTTTTGTAAAGTTCAAAGCAGCAAATTCTGAATTTCTACAATGAGCTGGTGCATATCTGACCGTTTGGCTGTGGGGCTGTAGTGGTTTCACAACAGATTTTGGAGTGTTTTATGAAACAGTAACCATACATTTAGTTTACAGAAAAGCTTCACTGGAGCCCCTGGTCACAGGGTTAAGCAAGCAAACGTTGCTCAAACTGAGAAAAGAAAAGAAGCACTGATGCCATCTGAACTGTTTTTACCAAAAACATGAGGCAGAAAAGGTTTTGCACAGAGCAGATCAAGACAGCGATAGCCGATTTCAATATGAACCGACAAATGTAGGCTGTAGTTATGCAATACTACGATGATAAAAATTAGCAAGGCTGTGTGATTCACAAGTCTTAATGATTCACCTCTGCACAGAAGAAGGTTAACGGTTCCCACTCCCCCAGGTGTTATCAATCATGGTCTCGCTGTAAGTATCAGCCGCTCTGTGGGTGCATTTCCTGCACACTCATGTATGTAATTAGTGGCTTTCTTTAGAAATACCCTGAAAACATCAATTCCTGCATTGGTAGATGGCGCACAACGCCACAACACGCCTTTCTCAGCTAGCTGCAAAACAAGTTTGAAAAGAAGTGCGTAACTGCTCTTCTATTAGGTTTGATTATTTTTATCTAATTTAAGCAAACAATTTACAGTTTAAACCTAATCTTGGGGATATTGTTCACTCTACAGAGTCCATAAAAACCAAATCTTTCCTTGAAAGAATAGTTGAGGATTTGTTTTATTTTAAATCAAAGTAGCCGGAGTTGTTGATCTGCCACTTGGAGCCAGTCTAATAAACAGAACGAGAGTAACGATAGCAAATGGTAAGAGAAGGTCTAGATACAAAGCAAGGTCTTTTTTTTTTCTTTTAATCAGCAAAGCAATGCAAACCAGTTCAAAAAGACAGAATAGCACCAATTATTTTGAGAAAGCTGCTCTCTTGGAAAAAAACTATAATTGTCATGTGTGTATTCCATAATGGTTCATCCCAGGTGCATCCTACTGGTCAGTCAGAGAGTCTTTCATTTTTTGATTATTTCAGCGTTTCATTCACAAATCGGCTTGACTGAGATTAAAGTTAAGCTCTGTAATGGGATCATTTTATCCTACTTCTGTCAGTCTTATAAAATATTCCATGAAATACAATGTAACATGGATTTAGTCCTCTTTGTTACGTTAGGTTTGATGTGCAAATATTAAACAATCAATCTTTACTACTAAATCGGGCTTTATCAATATGCAACTTCATTAGCGTATTTCGTTCATCGATGAGGCCAAAGATGTTAAAACAAAACCCGAAGAAAAAGAGAAGGAGAATGTGGACGAAGTGGTTGTTGGGGAAACTACACCAGCTTGGGATGCTAGTTAAACAGAGTTGGAGGTAGGCTGTGTTGTAACATTTAGCACCTTTATGGGCCATCTGACAAATACGTCAGCTATGGAGTTACACACAGCAGGCCTTGTGTTTTGGCAGCTGTATTCAGAGATTGGGGATCTGGAGTCAACAAGTCATCTCTATGTCATGTATTTGTTCTGCTCAGCCAATGAAACAGGGGAATCTGATCTGTACAGGTTAATTAACTTTACAGATTGGACTCGCCTGGTTCAGTGGCTGAGCAGAATAAATATATGACATAGAATTGTTGACTACAGATCTCATCTGTCTGTATTCGATATACAGAAACAAAATGAGCTGTTCAACCACATGATCTATAATTTCCTCAATGAAAAAAAAAATTAAAACAATTACAAAAATCTTAGAAATGATCAATGTGAAACCTTGTATTATTTGTCAAAACAAAATAGAGATACCTAAAAAGGTAAATGTCCTGCAGAAGCAGGAAGCAGAGCTATTTACATCTGAAAACTTGGAAGCAGGCTAAATAACAACTAGCTCATGTAAAAAGAAGGAAAAAAAACAAGCCAATAGTATAAAAAATTATGTGCAAGCTGGACAGCAACACAAAGACCTTGAACTTAGAAAGCAGCATAGGGCAGATTCAGGTCCTTCTTAAAGCTAGTTTTTGTGATCTGATAGACATTTGATATTCTGGCAGGATTCCACTTCTCTGCGCTGCAGTTATACATAGAAATTAGTACTTTAATAAGTGTTGAGATTTTCCAATATATCTGTAAGAAAGCTAAACAAGCAAATCGCCAAACAATGACAAGCAGCAGTCAACTAAGGTGTCTGGCTTGAAAGCAAAAGGAGTCTTTAATATGAATTGTTCTGCTTGTGATTGATGACGTCATCTCCGTTGGTTTCGGACAGTACCTCAAGGGTGGTAAAGTGATTGTCTCGTGTTGTCTGGCCGCGATTCCGGTTGCACAAACAGCACAGCAGCTCCTTGAAGGTCCTCCTCATGTCTTTGTCCCTGAAGCAGTAGATGATGGGGTTGACGAAAGAGTTGCACTCGGCTAACACCAGGAAGTACTTCTCGTAGCGCAGCACTTTACACGATATACAGTCAAAACCGTCAAGCATCAGTAGAACAAGACCTGGTGTCCAGCAGAGCACAAACAGGCCTGTTAGGAAAAAAAAAAAACAAAGATGTTAGAGAATCCCTAATTTAGGATGAAGAAGTAGGTCTTACAAAGAATATGAAGAAGTTGATAATTGATGATGGCTGAGGGAGTGATCTACAGGTTTCCTGATGGACACACTCAGATACAGAGCATTCCGGCTTGTGGAATGGGTTTAGTCTGTACGATCAGGTTTTATTATCTTAGCCTTGATTAGACATCTCAGGAATGCATACCCATGCCGGACACCCAGGACTAATGTATGCACACAAACAAACTGTGGACAGAACTGTTAAAATGATGTGCAAGTGAGCATTAGGACCAGAAACCTGCCATGCATTCCTTAGAAAGCTAAACAATCCCCCCCACGGTCACAGCAACCAGACCCCCCCCATTTCATGCTAACCTAAAATGTCCCTCTGCTAACTCCAGATCTACAAAACAATTCAAACTCATTATAAATCTAAATTATGCAAAAGAGAAAGTACAAATAAGGAAAGGAGTGGATTACAAATTCTTGGTTGTCATCCAATCCTTGCAAAAGCTGTTTTTCCTAACAGACTTGCATTATGCAGCTCCATGTCCGGACATGCTCAAGAGTTTTTCCTCAACCTTAAAAGTCAAACGGCTGGATCCTAACTGTTCAGCTGCCAAGTGACACGACAAAAGCGTGTGACACTTTTTTTCAACATTTAAGGAATCTGATCAACTTTGTTGCTCTTGAGAGACAAAATAGGTGGAAGAAATAAGAATAAAGGAAAGGTGCCAAATATATGAGCTATGTCAGAGGAAAGGAGGGAATGAGGGTTTTGTAGGGGAGGCAATGGTTTCCCTGACAAGAATAGACATGTAAAGGCATTCATCAGGCAGTTCAACCACCAACTCTCCAATTCTCAGAAGAAGAGGGTGGAAGATTTCCATTAAAAAGGGAAAAGAACAAACAAACAAACCTAAATAACTAAAACCAATCCCTACAGGATGGGTCTAGCTAGTAACTTCTTAAAAGAACTGTAGCTATTCGCCGAAACAAAACCTAAAGCCTCTGTTGTGCCATTAAAGAAATGCCTTACTTGAAACTTGCATGTACTTGTCTCTTTCTGTGAGTTCTCTGCTAAATAAGATTCAGAAAAACTCAGATTTTATCATTTAAACCTCTGGCAGGTTAAAGTTGTCAAATATCTTCAGTTATTGAACTTAGACATGTATTAGTAATAGGGGAGAGGCACATTCTTATGACATGATGCAGTAGAGTGTCGCTTTTTGAATAATTCAGCTGTTTTTATTATTCCTCACAAAAGGCCAAGTTGAAGATCAATTTCTCTCTTCTCAACCAACCATGTAAGAACCTTTAATGTCATTAAAATGATTAAACCATTCCTGTAATTTCTGACCAGATTTTTTCATTTTTCCTCTCGTGCTTCCATGATTTATCAGTTTAGTTCAAAGTCCTCTTGTTTAAAGGCTTACTTCCAATCCCTCTCATCCTTAGCCCCTCTCCTAGATACTACATCTGGTTCAGAAGTGGAGACCTGCATTGGTGTCTTCAGAATGCTGGTATTACTTCCAGTCAAAATAAAAATACATGGCTACATTTTAAGGACCATCCGACGCCTGTTAAAGTGGCCCCTTGGGAGCCAAATTGTGTGTCAAAATGGGCTCTATAGTAGTGAGGATGCACAATATGTACCGTTTTTTTTCTGGCACCAGCCCTACAAAAAGTCACTTTGACAACCCCCTTTATTACTGAACTAAATGAATAAAAACACATTATCAGAATGAAAGGTAAATACATAGGGCGAACTGAAATAACACACCAGATTCAAATGTTAAAATAAACTGCAAATCAGGTGGCATCTTCAAATGGTAAAATCATGCATGGAGTCTGCTTATATTCCTGAGTTCTCCTAACCTGTGCGTTTGTTTTACTTCAGTGTAGTGCCATTGACTGTACTATCATTTATATTATATATTCTATAGCCATGCAAAAACACTTAGGTAATCTCCATAATTTGCATCACAGCCATAAACTTGCTGTGGCAGTTTCTGGCAGATTTTTTTAGGCTGATTCTCTTGACCAGTGAAGCAGGTCGTGGACTGGTGCAAAGATAACACCCTGATCCCGAACGTGGAGAAGACGAAGGAGATGATGCGTTGATGATGTCACCAGTGCGAAAGAAATCAGTAAACAATAGAGAGAAACATGGAAGGGAGCCAGGGCAGAGTAACCCTGAAATCCCACATACTCCGTCAGCGCTCCGCTCCGCCCAGCTGCGCTCCCGACCACCTGCACAAACCACAGCCTACAGCCTCCGCAGTGGCTCCCGTCCGCTCCGCTGTGAGTTCCTTGGAGATCGTAGATGGCATGCGCGAGATGATTAAATTCAAAGCAGCAAAACATGCGGAAATTAACCAGGGTTTCCGCGGATCATTAAAAATAATTACAATTCATTATTTTTTTTTTTATTAAGGCCTTAATTGGAACTAAAATTAATTAAATGTGTTTATCGCGGCATTTATAATTCTTTAATAAAAAATGTTTTTAAAAACAAGATATATTATATCACGATTAATTTGCGTGGAACTGATCATAAAGCCGTATGTTCGGAAAGGAAGCTCGAGGCGGAGAAAAAGCAAGAATATATACCGTATTTTTACGACCATAAGGCGCACCGTACTAAAAGACGCAGTCTCAGTTATGTGGGCCATTACTGTATTTAACACACATAAGGCGCACCGGACTATAGGGTTTTCTTATATACAGGTACATGTCCTCTACTACGTTTAAATACCTCTACTGCGTATTTAAAAATAGAGCGGGAGCAAAACTGAGTATGTTTGTGCTTTATTCATGTATTTATTACAAAGTATTAATTAACCTGGGAGCTGGCCGTAAGACAGACACATCGCTAATGACACAGAGCGCTGTGATCACTCCTCTGAAACAGTTTATTGGTCAGAGGGCCCGGTGGCGCCAGTGTACGGCAGCCTCGCTTCTGTCAGTGAGCCCAAGGGCTGCTGTGGCTACAATGTAGCTTGCCACTATCAGTGTGTGAGTGTGTGTGTGAATGGGTGAATGAATGTAGTGTAAAGCGCTTTGGTCAAGTCTCCTAACTTGAATAAAGGCGCAATATAAGTACATGCCATTTACCATTTACCATTTATTGATGCATAAATTAACTTAAAATGCAGAAATCTGCCAGCAGAATATGTTCGCTTTTATTATCCTGGTGCCTGCAGTTTACCGATCTGTTGCAACTATATTTTAATTTGACAAACCGGAATTTCTCGGTGTTCTTTTTCCTTTTTGGTGCGATTGCTATTGCGGGTCTTGACCTGTCCGGACCGGAGCAAAAAATAGCTCGGCTCCGTATTTTGTCGGTGACGGACGGAGACGTGCAGAGAAGTAGCGGTGGATGTGGAACAGCTCTCATTGATTTACATGAAAGACAAGTGCTCCGCACGTTGTACGTCAGAGGGGCGGAGCGTTGACGGAGTATGTGGAATCTGGGGGTAAGTGTGCTTTATTGTCTCACTCTTTCCAGTTCAACTCCAACAACTCTGACTGCATGAAGAGTTGTTTGGCTTGTTATAATCAGAGACAACTTGTGATGTTATGAAATACTTTCATTGTGCTCAACGGTATCACGTAAGTGATTTTAACCCAGAAACCAATTAATATCAAAACATCTGAGTAACAAAGGAAACAAACTAATTGAAATAATTAAATAAATACTCAATAACAGACTCAAAAATGAATACATTTCACAAATTTCTGAAGTTAAAGTCATGGAGACATTTAAAATTTTTCTTCCTTACCAAGGATCATTGAAACGGTCTTCATCAAGCCGAGTACGGTCTCTTTGTGCCTTGTCTGGGTTGTGTGCTCTGACATCTGCTTGCTTTTGTGCCTTACGTAGAGGAAGATCCTAGTGTAGATAGCCACCATTATGGAGAAAGTCACTAAGTTAAGAACAGCCCAAAATATCAGGAAGCTACGGCTGTAGAGCGGCGCCATTGTGGAGCAACTTTCCAGGTCGCACACACAGTTCCATCCCATGGTTGGGAAAAGACCCATAATGATTGCCACCATCCAGATGAATAATATGACGATTATAACCCTCCGTGTGCTCATCTTACTGTGCAGCTGCATGTTAAAAATAGTCTGGTGTCTTTCTGCAGCTACAGCAAGCAGGTTGAGGACAGAGGCTGTTAGGCTGGTGTCGATAAGCCCCTGCCGAACAAACCATTGGTACTGAGATAGCTTAATGGTCCAGGGACCAGTGTGAAACATCAAGTGGAGATAGGAGATACCTGGGGAGAGAAATTTAAGAAATTACTGCAAGAAACAAAGATAAAACAGACAGAAACACTTTTATAAAACATCTTAAGCCATTCATAGGTTTTCTGTTACTTTAAACATATTGTGTTTCCAAATCACAAAACTCTGTTTCTGGGGTTGACTTGATCAATACATCATCAGGCTTTTTTGTTATGGTCTATGATGACCTGGGTTTTGCTTTAGTCGAAACTGAATAAGAATCCATCAGTCATGACATAGATGGTTGCTTTATGTTTGCATGTTGCTTTGCATTTGTTTTGCTCCTTGCCTTTTGCAATCTCTGTAGGACACGCTACCAGGGTTACACACAAAGACTGAGCAGAGTAAAGCCAAATATACAGAAAACCACAGTAAGGCCTTTAGACTTTAGTGTCTTGGCTCAGAAAAAGAAGAAAGATCCCCTACATTCCATACACAATGTCATGTCTTTTTAATCTACTGGTCTGTTATCAAATTATAGCACATGTGTTGGGATGGCAGCGCATATAAGCAAAAGTATACAATAAATAGTTCAAATGTATTAGACTGATATTGATTACACTTTTTTGAAGGTTGGGGGTTGGACGAAATGAGATTAATATAGTTCTACACAAAGACCAACTACCACTTCTTTTTTTGAAGAATCCTGCCCTACTTTGCTTCTTCTCTAACTCTTCAATTACCGTGTTCCTCTCCATTTTATCCTGTCCCTTCTCATGTGTGTCTCCCTTTTCCTCCTCACACGAATGACTGGTCTGTTACTGTCCACTTTAACCCCCAGGCAGTCTTGATAAAAGGCCACTCACCCTGATCCCAGGACCTGATGGAGGTTTCTTTTACTGTGAAAGGGAGTTTTTCCTCTCCACTGTCGCTCCATGAATACACGGTGTGTTAGACAGTGTACGTTGGTCCATTGGTTCCAATCTTTATTTTTCAACATGTAGCCTAATGCAGGTTACATGCAGTGTTGTAGTATCCCTCACTGATGTAGCTCATTCTTCTAAGACCCAGGACGGTTATTCATTTCAAAAATACTTTATAAATCATTAAGGGAAATTAAAATGTGCAGTAACTCATAGGTAGGTTTCTAACCAGTTTTTATGGCTGTTGATAGCTGTGGGCAGAACCCAGATCTGGAGAAGCGTCTTACTAAAGACACTCTTCTGAAGGGGGTGCTCACTGATGTCCATTATGTTCTTCATTTTATGAAGAATTTTGTCTTTGTGAATTAATCTCCAGAGGTTCTAGAGGTGTTCCTAGAACAGAACCAGCTTTCATGTCATTTGCTCCAATGCTGTAACTCCAGAAGATGGTGGTAAACATTTCTGGAAATCTGTATATTTTATTTTAAATACAGACTTCTGGTTATGCAAAAAATTGTGTCTTTCTTCAAGATTTTTAGCATTTCCTACTGCATACAGGAACATGCCTACGAAAATCAGCACCCGACACAGATCTTCTCTTTAATGGTCGAACCATGGCTCTGTTCTGTGCGGTTCTGAATTGGAACTAACGTAGTCTGCACAGGGATGTGGTGCCATGCCCACAAAAGCAGTAACATTTATGCAGATCATTTTCAGGAAGAGAAGGAGCTTCTTTTTTGGCCTAACTTTATGGATGATGCCTTTGTTTCTTTATCAGCCATCTTTATAAGCCATTACCCTAGACATAGAGTAGTCTATTCAAAATAAGAACAAAATAGTCTTTCAATTAAGAAGTGAACAATAACAATGTTCAAATGCATAACTATAATGCATAGGCTACTGAAATATTGTTCAAATAATTTAAGTACTTGACTTAATAACAATATATATTTGGTATTTAATGCAGTCTGATGAAAAATAGAGAAAATACCAAAACATGTAGAGATGAAAAAAGAATCACTGACAAAACGCACTGAAATGTGACAACTGACTTAACAGATAAGGCACCATGATCAAGTAACCCTGACTGTTAGCCTGGTGTGAAGTAGGCTAGCTGCCTAGAATTAATCACCATGGTAACTTAAGTGCTACTCCTATTTCCAAACCTTGTCGTGTCTTAAATACGACAGGATAGCTGGAAAACCTTGGCTTAATCCACCATCTTGACTTAAACTCAGCAATTTGGGGTGCGTTCACAGCACAAAATATGTCAGAGCTAAAGATCAAATATTACATGACATAAATGTCTTTAAGTGCATAATCATCACTGCAAATCATCTTTTATAATTGTTTTTATTTTTTTACAAACAATTTATTAATTTTCATTTTAGTGCCCAGAAAAAAAAAAAGGGCAGTGTCTTCTTTATTAGACGTCTGCAATCAAAAGCTAATCTTTAAACATTTATTAAAGTGCCTCTGTGTGTTGTACTCTCCGTTAGAAACAAAGAAAATGTTTAAATGAACGTAGATTTGTTATGTTGGAGGTAACTGGGTCATTAAAAATAAATTAACATAACTTCATCACCTTTCTATCTATGAAAACACAAGAAGGCAATGAAAGGACCACCTTGACTACAATGATCTCTGTAGGAAATGAAGATGGGTGTCAGGTGGTACACATAGGTAGGTAAAATAGATTCATCCTCCCTCACAAAAAGTGCCTTTTTAATTAATATTTTTGCTAGATTAGGAAACTGGGAAGGAAGGATTAACACAATGCAAAGTTCATGCTGAGCAATATCTGATTTTGGTGCATGTGAAGACTTGATTTTTTATTTTTATTTTTTTATAAAAATCTGGTTAATGGTATTATATATGTATGTATGTATGATGTTTTATGTATTTTACTATAACATCAGCCTGCCCAGGGACTACAAGTGGAAACAGCACTTGAGCTATAACCTAGTACAATGCATGTCTCCCCTTGACGTTAATGTTTATTGTATGCTGTCCCTGTTTCTCTAAATAAATAAACTAAAGTAATAGACAGGCTAGCAGGGGGAAATAGCTTTCTGTTAGGGCTGGGCGATAATTCAATAACGATATATATCGATCAATAGACACGTGGGGCAATAGAAAAAAAGAGAGTCGATAAAAGTTCGATAAAGAAACGCAGTTTTCCTTCCTTCTCATTGTAGCCTATCATGTAGGTTTATGCTAGTCAATACTTCCTCCCAACCAATCGCAATCGCGGACCCAGGAACACCATCATAAAGACCCGCCCTCTCAAACCACAACACAGAGCACATGAAGATGTTGCAGCAAGGAGAGGCGGAGGAAATTGTTCCAAAGAAGGGTTTTTGTAGTTCGCCAGTTTGGCAGTATTTCGGTCATGGCAAGTCGGACAAAAAACAAACCACAGTCATCTGTAAAATGTGTAGGGAACCAGTGAAAACGAAGTCTGATAACACAACCAACTTCTTTTTTTTTTTTTATATCATCTCAGCCGCTCACACCCGCAGGAGTACGAGCTGTGTAGGCCACGGCACGGCTCTCCCCCGAGGAATCTTCGGGAATTTCGGGAAAATATTTATATATATATATATTCAGTTCTGGGCAGTTTCCCACGTAGTTCTAACAATTGAGAGAAAAATACTGAGGGGCCAGCAACTTCAAAAGTAACAACTCAGGTTAAAGCAGGAAAATAAGCTGAACCATAACGAGGTGCCAGCAGCACCTCTGGTAGAATACTGCAGTGAAGTTAGTTTCAAGTAGGATATTAACTTCACTGCGGTTAGAAACCTGGGGGTGAGAAAAAATACCCCATAGAAATGTTAGGCTAAAGGGTGAGTTGATTTTTGTTTGGGTTTTTGTTCTTGTTGAGTGGAGTTCACATGGTAGCCTAGTCCTACAATCTTTTAATTACCACAAGCTGGTGGTGGACTTTTCCCACCCAAATAGGGTATTCTATTTATTTATTTGTTATATTTATTTTGGTCACTTTTCTGGTCACTTTAGTTTATTCTTTGTCAGTATTTAATAACATAACTCAGATCTCTTAAGTTATTTTTCTTTAAAACAATTCTGTTATGGTTAAAAAAGTTGGTTAAATAAATATTTAATTGGAAGTCTGTGTTTGTGTTCTTTATTAAAATTAAATCATTTAGCGATATCATAAAAAGTCCAGGCAGAGCTGCACATAAAATATGGTTTCAAATCTTTTTAATAATTATCGATATCGATCAATATGCATTTTTTTTTATCGATAAGCTTTTTTCTATATCGTCCATCCCTACTTTCTGTATCTATAGATGCTTTGTTTCACAGCAGGTTTTAGTTTTTGTGTTCACTGTCAGTGTAGAGAAACCTGCTGATGACTGGAAAGAGCATCTATTAATTTAATACAATCCATTAACTGGTCATTATACATCTTTACCACACTATTTAGCTTCAGCTGTGGCTAATGTTTTTTCTTTGAGTCAAACGATCTACAATGTTTTACAGCAGCAACAATCTGACTGTATTTATTTCCCTTCCATCACAACATTACTGTACCAGGGATGCATGTTATCAATTAATGACTTAATCTTAAGTTGACTGATCATATCAATGGAAAAACAAGTAATCGGTAAGCTGCCATAAAAACTAGGAATAGAAAATCGTATTTTAAAAAATAGATTGTCTCAGCTATATCAAATACTGACAACAACAACAAATGTTTTCTTAAACATGATTAAACTTAAGTATATTCATCTGATATTACAAAACAGGAACCTGTAAGTTAACTGTATAAAAAATGAATGAAATAGGTGACACATAATTTACTCTACAATTGTGTTTATAACAAATTATAACTCTATAATTTGCAACAAACAATGATGCGGTATGACGCTGTGTGATGCTGTCAGTTTGCGATTGTTGAAATGAAATGGATACCAACTGTGATATTGTTCTCTGTTTTTAGTGTAATCCGATTAGGGCTGCAACTAATGACTCTTTGGCTAATCAATTAATCTGTTGATTCTTTTCCAAGTCCATCAACGAGTGATCGGAGAAACTTTGCTCTGTTAGCTGTGCTTCTAAATCCAGGGGCTGTGTTTGCTGCTACATGATAGACAGATTAATTAGCTGGGCCAATATTAGCAGAGTTTTGTTTCCATATCGACATGCTTTCTTCAATTCATCAGACCTGCTTTTAGATCACATGAAACACTTGTAATGCCACTCCCTCCAGTTTTGTTTGATTTGTTAATTTAGGCTTTGTTATCACTGTGTCATTTTTAGGGGAGTGGTGACCAAGTGGTTAGGGCATAGAGCTTGGAATCCTAAGGTTCTGAGTTTGAACCCCACTTCCACTGACTGCCACTCTGAGTCTCTGAGCAAGACCCTTTATGGCAGTAAATTGGCAGCCCCATGCTCCCCAAGGGGATGGATTAAATGCAGAGGTAAATTTCTCTAATGTGAGATCAATAAAGTTCCATCATTATTATTATTATTATTATTATTATTATTATTATTATTA